CCCATCACCTCCATCCCGGATTCGCTCGGGGGGCCCTTCGCCAGCGTCCTATCTTCGCTCCAAAGACCCAACGGTGCCAAAGCCGCCTTGGTGAAGAGCAGTATGTTCTGATCTGGGACGTGGCGGCGGCGGCGGCGGGCCGGGGCCGGGCGGGCGAGTGGGCGAGCGGGTAGGCCCCAGGCTACTGTCGTCGCTGCCGCCCTGGCTTTTTCATGGAAAGCCTAAAGTAATCGCGATAAGAATAAAGAGAACACGGCGTCGCCCCCATTGCAACCCCACTCTTACCCCAATCCCGAACCCCCAGCAAAACAAAACAAACGAAACAGAGCAAAGCAAAGCAAACACTTCCTGGCTCCGCACCTGCCCCAGGGCCGCGCAGACGGGCCAGGGCTCCGCCTGTGGACCGGGAGGTGGGAGCGGCGCGGCCGGACTCGGGGGCACTCTCAGGGGGCTGTGTCTGCGTGTCGTGTGTGTCTGTCTCTGGGAATGTGTATCTGTGGCCCGAGCCGGTGACAGAAAGAGATGGATGGGGGGCATAACCAACTCAGTGACTTGCTTAGAAAAAGAGAAAAATAAACAAAACAAAACGAAAAAACCCAAATTAAAAAAAAAATTAGGAAGGCAGCAATCGTTTTTTAAAAAAAGATTTTAAAATCTAAGGGTAACAAGTAAAGGGAGAGAGAAGGGAGGCTGCAGCAAGCACTGTCCGGCGGCTCTGTTTTGTGAACCCTTATTGGGGTCCCTCCTGACGGCACAGACTCCCTTGGGGCTCCTCCTTAGGGGGGATTTAGGAGCCTTCCAGTCCCGCTTCCCCTCCTGTCCTTGGGTTCGGCGAAGACTCCTGCAGACTGTCGCCGCGGCCAAGGGGACGTCCTCGCGCCCGCTTGCCTGTCCCACCTGGCCGAACACCATCCCGCCATCAGCGCTTCCGAGCCCCACGCAGCTGCAACTCCCAAACCCCCGAATCTTTGCAGTCACTCGGCCCTGAAAGATGCCCTATACATGAGATGCCTTTCATCTGCAAACTGCAAACTGTGTCTCATATTCGAAAACGCTTCCCTGTTTTTCTCTCTCCTGCCACCCCCACCGGCATATTCTTCTTCCACCAGCTTTTACTGAACTTTTCGGCACTGCTTTGGATTGGAGTCGATTGCAGTCCGTGCAACTGGCTACAGAGAAACCTACCGAGCGAGGGAAAGGCGCGCACACTAGTTTGCAGAAGTGACTCGGTTTGCACTTCTGTTTGATCCGAAATGGACTCACATCCTGTATGGTGGATGAACTGTATATTGATGATTCCATTCTTCTCGCAGTTTAGACATCTCTGTTGAGGTTATTTTTTGTTTGTTTTTTTAAATTTTATTTTAAAAGGCACAAACTATAGATATTAGTTGAATGTTGAGGCTTTAACTTTTTGGGTGTCTTTCTACAACTGTGTTCTGTGACTCAATTGTATCGTGTTAATATCAGTACAGACCGTCTCCTCTACGTGACCGTATAATGTTTTTCCTCTTCTTGTAGTCTCTATGGTGTGTCTTTACGGAGTACTAAGGTTCTCACGGGTTCAATTCCTTTGTGTTTAGAGACCAAGGTTCAGACAATGGTATATATTTTTGTTATCAGGTGCATGTCTGTCTGATTTTTTTTTTTTCTTCTTGTTGGACCTTGTTTGTGAACATAAGCGTCCTAAGTTATGTTTCAGATTTTCAAATTTATTTATATGTGTTATAATGAATGCTTCTATTTAAAAGGGAAATATTTCTACATGTGCATATAGTTTTCCAAGAGTGTACCATTAACTTGATTGTTGATAATAAAAACAAAAAGCAAGTCTAGTGATTGAACTCCTCTGAATTTTCCTCAATGCGTTCTTTTAAATTTAATTTTTAAAATGATGAGGGAGTACAGAGGAAATTGTATAAGATCTCTAGAAGCCACAGGGGCTCTGGAAACCTAGGTTGGTTGGGGAGTGGAAATCCATGCAGCCAAATTCAGCCAGGATAAAATTTAGTGCTTGGGAGAGCAGGCAGGATTCTTCTGGTGGTTTTGAGTCAGGGAGCAAAAGAGAACACCAGGGTGTTGACAAAAATGTTCGGATCAGGGCCTAGGCTGAGGCCGCAGGGATTCCTGGCAGCAAAACAGGAACTGCACACCTGATTGTGAGAAGGACTCAACTGTGGATTCTGAGCTAAAGTGCCTCGAGGACCCATAAGCCCCCATGGGCCGTCCTCCTGAAGCCCAAAGACTGCAGCACTCTGTGACACCTGAGGGTCTTTGCATGGGCAGATGGATCCGGAAGGCACTGGGTGGAGAGTAACATTGATGTGTTTTGAGAAATAATGTTGACAACAACTGAAATTATCGACCCCTGGCGTGTACCAAATTGTGCTTTCCGTGCATTATCCCATCTGCTTCTCAAAATAACATCACGAAGTAGTGCAATTCCGATCCTCATGTTCTTTTTATGCAGATGAGGAAGCTGAGGCAACAGAGAGGTTAACCTGCTCAAGAGCCCTGGGCATGAGTGATGGGGCAAGCTTTTGAACCCAGGAAATCTGATTCCAGAGCCTGTATATTCACTGCACCAGTGGTTCTGAAAGTGTGGTCAGCAGCTCACATGGGAACTTGTTAAAAACAGGAATTCTTAGACCTTAGTCTAAGAATTCTTAGTCATGAACTCTGGGATGGGGGCCCAGCAATCTGTTTTAATAAGCTCTATAGAGGATATTAGAACCACTGAACTACACTCTAAGAAACCCAAATAGGAAGGTTCCGGAATTGGGACTACATTGGGAACAGGGGTGCGTGTATGGGGGTGTGTGAAGGAGCCTCTGACAGTTTCAATGATCCCCTTTTGGAAGGAGCAGTCATCAGCACAGCTCCAAGATGAAATTCTGTCTCCATCTTGGACTGTTTGGCAGGGCCACCTTCTTCAGTAGAAGCCTGTGTGAACTTCAGGTACTTAACTTGGTGCCCCTGTGGTTGGGCCTTATAAGTAGATAAGTCAGTTCCTTCATCTGACATCTGAGGGGAAGCCACACGATGCCTCCTCTGGTCTGCGGATTAGCAGCGGATGTGGCTTGAATTTATCTGGGCTTCTCACTTTAAGCATCCAAATATGGCTTGCAGCAGATCATGAAGGTTTCATTCAGAAATTTCAAACCTTTGGATCTAACTTTTAATGGTTTTTCTAAAGGGCTTTTAAATAGTCTTTAAAACAAAATCTGGCCCCGGGCAAAGTGGCTCAGTGGTTGAGCATCTACCTATGAACCAGGAGCTCACAGTTCGATTCCAGGTCAGGGCACATGCCTGGGTTGCAGGTCTATCCCTAGTGTGGGGGTGTGCAGGAGGCAGCTACCCAATGATTCTCTCTCATCATTGATTTTTCTATCTCCCTCTCCCTTTCTCTCTGAAATCAATATATATATATATAATTAAAAATCTGTCTCTAAATGCCTCTCAGAACCCACCTCTCTCCCCTAGAATAACATTCTATAAACAGTGGCCTCAATTGAGCTGGTCTAAGATTCCAGCAGTCACAGATTCCATAGACCCCAGTCTTTCATTGGAAATATAGCTTAGAAAAGTCGGGAGAAGAAAAAGTAAAAGTAGGAATTTATTGATGAAAAAAGAATTCAAAGCCCAGATAACCTAGCCCTGGGCTTGGCTAGAGAAGAATGAGCCTTACGCATTGGGGGCCACCAAGTAAGTCTCTGAGAGCTCATGGGCTGGCCAGTGGGGCATGCATTCTGGAGAAGGCAAGACCAGGAGACAGAAAGAAAAGAAGAAGTAGAGAGAAAGGAGGAAGGTAGAGAAAAGAGAGTAAAACCAAGTAGCCAAAGAAACCCCAGTGAAGGCCCCAGAAATCCTTTGAGATGTGACCAAACTAGATGAGGTTACTCAAACTCTCTTTTCCTGGCCTTGACCTGGAAATAATTTATCTCCCAGACAATTGAAACTCTGGGGACTGGTGAGGAAATCATGCTCCCTACCCCCCACCTGTCCCAGCTTTCCAGAGGATGGCATTTAAAATCTCTGGAGGCACCCCACTTTGGTATTTCAATATCAACTTCTTTTTAATTTAGGCCACTTCTGCCTCTCCTACTGGTCAAAGAAGCAAAGCTGTTCGTTGGGAGGCAAGTTTATGATCAAATGCAAACTAATGTCCCTGTAATATGATGGAGCCTATTGGCAGGACACCGTGTCTCTCGGGTTGTGTCATTTCCTTGGAGTCATGCACGGTGTGAACAAGCTCACTTTCACTTTTCCTCTCCCAAGGAATTTGCATTTTGGCTCATCAAGGCATCCTTTTTCCTGGCAACTCCGGGATCACATGTGACTTCACAAAAGCTGCAGGAGCTGATGCCAGATGGCCACCTCTGAGCCAAGTCTCCTTCAAGATGGCCAAGTACAGGAGCCTGAGTGGTTTCAGAGGGGAACTGATAACTCAACATGTAGTAGCTGTCTATCACTCACCCTGATGCTTCTCTGAGGAAGCCAGCTAGATAAAGATGCCCCTCAATTCAGGGAAAGGATCTGAGTGACTTGGATGCTGAATAACTTAATCCCTCTTGATAAGCTTGATTCATCAACTGTAACTATGAATAATAATATAGACTTGTGGGGTTGTTGGGGGTATTAAATAAGATATACAGCAAATATCTGACATAGCATGAAGTTTTCAGCAAATGTCAACTATTATGAATATTATTATTACATCACTTCTAGATTCATTATCTCCCTTGTTCAAATCGTAGAAGATTAGAAGAGACCTCAGCCCTGGCCAGGTGGTTCAGTTGGTTGGAGGATCGATTCCTAGGTGGTGGGTTCAATCCCCTTGTCAGGGCACAGCAACTGATCGGTGTTTCTCTAAAATCAGTAAAACAAATCCTCCCATTGGAAAAAAAAGCCCTTAGTTGTCAAGTCAATGGCCCAGGAACACAAAGTCTGAGAGAATATGCAAAGGCTGGAATTGGAGAACTTTGCTGAGGGTGACAGTAACAACCTAGAATCAGCCAAGGGCTCCCAAGTAATAGCTACTAATATTTATTGAGTTCTCATTATATGCCAGATACTTTTATGTTTATAAGCTTTAAAGCATTTAATCCTTACAACAACCTTATGAGAAAATGATATTCCCATTTTTTTAAGGAGGAAACTGAGGCATAGAGAGGTTAGGTAAGATGCCCAGGGCCACACAGGTAGTAGTACTGAAGCACAAATCCAACTCCGGAGCCCAAGCCCTTTAACCACTTTCCTTTATTATCTCCACAGAGAGAAGAATTCGTTTTCAGCCTATGAGGTCATGCACTACCAACCTGGGAGGAGATCTCATCTCTCAAAATGATGCAGAAAAGTAGGTGAAGGTTAGACAAGGCAACAGGAGGAGCGGTACTGGGATGAGATTTCCAGCCAGATTCAGAATGAAGTCTAAAGCTGAAAGGGAGTTGCTTTGGGATCTCCAGGAGGAGGGCAGCATGGTTATAGCTCACGGTCTCTTTCTGGTAAATGAACAAGAGGAGAAGTAGCCAGGGGAATGGAACATGAAAGGAAAAAGGATTACATTTATGAAGTACAGGACATCAGTCGGTGCACAGGAATGGCTGTCAGGAAAAGATGT